CACACACACACACACACACAAGAGCAGCGGTTCAAAAGATTCGAGATCGAAGTTGCGTGTTCAGTGGTGGCACTGACCCTTCCACCCGCTGCTCCAAGCGCGAGAGCCACTGCTCGACCAATTCCTCTGGAGGAGCCAGTCACCACACACACGGGACCATCAGCAGAGGCTCCCCCTTTGGCTGCCTTCGACTCCTCGACTGCCACTTGGGCCGAGCCATTTGCTCGCACACCTGCATGACACGTGGCATCATCATACTCGTGAACAAAGGTATGGTACTCCTCGACTGCCATTTGGGCCGACACGTGGCATCATCATATTCTTGAATAAAGGTAAGATTAAAAAAATTAAAAAAAAAACAGCACAAACAAAAAAGGGGAAAAAAACAACCTGACGGACCTGGACAACGGCTACGCCGGGTTATTATCGCTGTACCTAGACTGCAATTTGCACCAAATGCAGCTATAATGACCGCAAACTCAACGGAAGACAGTAGGCGATTCCGACACGCCAAGAACAACTGATGATACAACTCGTCAGTTCTTTCCTGATCTTTGCACCTGAAAAAGCAATCTGTTAAAAAAAGACAGAAAACGAGAATAAAATTTGAACAGATTCTCGTTTTCTTTCTAAAGCCCGACTAATTCTGACGCAAATTTTCGACTTTTTATTTCTGAAGCCCAAGAATCAAAAGTACTTTTGTTGTTACACCCCTCGCTGGACCAACATAGCCTCGGTGGAAATTTATGTATAGGGAAAATAAAAAGCTCGCAAAAAAATAAAGGCGGAGAGCAATATAGCAGATGTCTGCGACACACAGAGAGAGAGAGCGAGAGAGAGAGAGAGAGAGAGAGAGAGAGAGAGAGAGAGAGAGAGAGAGAGAGAGAGAGGGAAATCGAGTCGGGGGAGTTAGAGAGCTCCTTGAGACAATGCTGCTGCAAGGGTTTCCGAGAATGGACACTGCTGTCGTTTGTCCGGTGTGCGAGCGCGCGCGCGCACAGGCGCGCACACATAAACACATTGCAGACAGTCCTAGCAGTGTCCACTCTTGCAAAAACTTCCAGCACAGGCGCACACACATAAACACAACTTGCAGCATTGCTCCAGGGGGTCTCTAACTCTCCCCCTCTCTCGCGAAAACACACAAATAGCTCACACGAAGAGGGACAGACAGAAAGAGCCCGACAGGCCATAACAAATATTCTTCATGAAGATGGCTACGTAGGGAACACCTACTGTCATGTAATAAGCTCTCTATCAAAAACACAATTGAACAAATACTTTAAAAATAGCGATCGTTGCCATACAACCAGACAGACACAGAGAGAAACACAGAGAGACAGACACAGAGAGAGAGAGAGAGAGAGAGAGAGAGAGAGAGAGAGAGAGAGAGAGAGAGAGAGAGAGAGAAGCGCATTAGCAACGCATGACTCTTACCGCTACGCGTGTGGCAATAGCGATCGTTCCCGCTACTCTGATGCAAGGTATTTTATTTTATTTTATTTTATTTTATTCTATTTTATTTTACTTTATTCTATTTTATTTTATTTTATTTTATTTTATTTTATTTTATTTTATTTTATTTGGGGAATGATGCGAGTTACCAAATCAGTCCTGGTTTACTTTTAAAAAAACAGAAAGAGAGAGAAAGGGCCTCGCTCCACTACTCTCCAACTGTACAAAATGAGAATGAATCTACCGCTAGAACATGGAAAGATGCACTGCCATGATCTTTGTCTTTTGTGCATGTGGAGAGTAGTGGCGGAGCGAGATGCCCAACACTCTTACCGGTACGAAGCGCTCGCCAGGCCTGTGCGCGTTTGGTCGCAAGCCCTACTCGCCCCGTGCGCTCGCACACGTGCGTCCGTCCGCCACGTGTCGCCTCCCATCCACAATCCTCTGTCGGGAGCTTCCGAAGCAGGCCTCGAAGAGGACAAGAGACAACGCCTTCGCTGCTGGCAATGCGTCCCGACAGCGACGAGAGAGCCCCGCAAGAGGAAGAGACAACGCCGCCGGTCATGATCCGAGCGCTGCTGCCCGCCGCAGCAAGAGTCGCGGACGAACCCATCGGCGCAAACACGCGGAGATCCCGCGCAGGTAGCACACCTCCCAGTGGCAGCAGGGATCCCACCCTACCGACCAGCTGACCGACCGATCGGCGCGAGGTACGGAGGCACAACTACTCCCCGCCAAATCGGCGCGCGGTGACTAAGCACACCGCCTGCCTCCCCCTCTCGCTCCTCCTTCCTTATCCGCCCACTCGGTGTCGCCCAAAGTCCCGACAACAGCGCACGTGGCGACAGCAGCAGCCCCCGCACGCACAGCCTCCGCGACCCTCTCTCTATCGCTCGCCTGGAGCACCACTTCGTGACACGTGGACAACGAATTTTGTTATTTTTTCTTTTTTGCGGTTGGGAGGGCGGGAGGGGGCGGGGGGGAGGGGAGGGGGAGGAAGTATTCTATTTAGTGTATTGCGCCCTGCGCGCTCAGCGAAGAAGTCCTCCCCTCGACTGTGTCCCAGGGCCAATGCTGATCACCATGCGAGCTCCCTTTCCCTCGCCTTCTCCGGGCGATGTTCGACTACCGCTCCCTCCCCAAATTCCCGCCAAATTTTTCGCATTCCCGCCAAAATCTTAGCAACTCTGCTTGATTCACCGGCGGCGTGGCGCGAAGGATCCTCTCACTCTGTGCCCTGTAGATCGTCCCTCTGGCCCTCTGGCGCGTCGCAGCAGCGCGCCTGCTATCGGCAGCCAGTCTAGCCCACTCACCGCGCTTGGCGGGAAGCGTTGACAAGTGACAAGCGCAATCGAAGAGGAACGATCAGGCTCAGGCTGGTGAGACGGGATAGCGATCTTCCAGCCGGAACGAGATTTTAAAAAGTGGTCGCGCCATGCGGAGCACGGCCTGTAGGAAATAATTAAAAAAAAAAAAAAACTTCCTTGGCCTCTTGGATAAGATCACGTGTAGCATCTGTTCTGATCAGTTTCGTATCCGATACAAAACTGAAGGAAAAATGAAACTACCTCAAAACTTCAACAGTGTTTGTTTGTGTGACCCTGGGGGCCAAGTCCCACTTACCGGGATTCTCGATTGCTGACCTTAGATTAGCAAGATCGACGGCCAGAAACGAAGAATCAGCATAAGTGGGACTTGGCCCCGGGGCCCAAGTCCCACTACCAGCGTTGAGTGTCCTCAATGGCCGAATCTGGCCAAAAAATGGGGGAAAGAAACTACAAAACGGAAGGGAAAACTACCGGCTGACCCCTGGCCGGTATCGCGCACCTGCTGTAGCAGGTATCGCACCTGCTGGATCGCGCACCTGCTGTAGCATCGCACCTGCTGGATCGCACCTGCTGGTGGGTGCAGCTCCCGCATGTTCCCGCGTTGGAGGCTTGAGCACGGGGGCCTCGGCCCACATGCCATCGAATAGTTTACTAGTCTGTGTGACAGTAGAAGGTGGGAAACCACAGTAGTGAGGCCAGGCCCTTTGTGTGTTTCCTCAGAGGATAGTAAGCCTCATGGCACTGGCACTTACAGAAATGTATCCAGCCATTTTCAGGGCCGAATCGGTGTTCCCTTTTTTTTTTTTTTGCTCACTCTTTCTGGAATCTGACAGCCGAATCCCTGATCAGAGGATTGTAACCGTGATCACAATGGCACTTGGAGGAATGTATCCAGCCATTTTCATGGCCCAAACCGTGTTTCCATTTTTTTTTTTGTTTTTGGTTTCTGGAATCTGACAATCTGGTCACGAGGCTGAGATGCCCTCACTGAGGGCACACTCACACTACCACTTCCAAGAATGTACACAACTGCAATCACCACGTGAGTCTCTCCTTCGTTTTTTTTTCCTTTTTTTTTTTTTTTTTTTTTTTTTTTTTTTTTTTKKAAAGYTTKWTTWTTTTTWTTATAAAAACGCTGCAGGTTTGACGAGGCCGGGGACCTCACAATTCAACCCGGAGTTATCCTGGCAGCCTCAGCCAGTTTAGCTTACGAGCCCTGCTCGTCAACAGTTAAACCAAGAAAATCCACTGCTAAACTGGAAACGAGGTCCAGCGTCCTCTACTTAAGTTGCTATCCAAAAAAAAATTAGAAGTAGGTAACTTCGTGAAGCTCAGAAAAGAATGTGCTATACAAACAGACTAGCACTCATTATTCTCCTTATTCCTCCAAGCACGTGTAGCSATTGGCAACTTTTCTACATTCAATGGTATGCATCGTTCTTACACCCTACTGTTTGAGTTGTATGAGCTCTCAAAAGCTGATGCTCATATCCTCCAAAATTTATCATTCCCATAGAGGCCTAAAACGGCCAATAGAAACCATATCCGGCACCCTCTTCGGGGCCTCCATTTCTCTGAGTCCTCCTAGTCCTGTAGCAGCCACTGAGTATAGGACAGAGACCCTTCTGACGAGATAGTAGAGAACGTGGCTCTTCTAGCCCATGTCTTGGAAAACCACAGGAAACCTTTTGTTCTCCAGTCAGCACGAATCACTAGTCTAATGGCTTGTTTAATCTGATTAGTTGAATGCTGTAGGGCATTCATTTCCCCACGAAATACTTTGGCATTTCGAGCGGACCAATTCGCTTCAAATATTATGCCCCGGCATATCAATAACACATACCCCACCCCGCTTGTGAAGTTTACATTCTTATGTAGTTTGGCATGCAGAATAAATTCCTCTCCCCAGTCCTCCACAGGGTCTGAGAAACTCCTCCATTTCTCCTTCCACCATTCCCAAATTGCCTTCGAATGTGGACAGTGAAGCCACAGGTGAGATGCATTCTCCCACCCCCACTGACATCTGGCACAGGTCGTTGGAATATCCATGCCTTTTGAGTTCAGCCAGTTAGAGGTTGCGGTTATATGCAGGGATTGCAGCCACTGTAGAGAGGCTTGTTTCTGTGAAGGAATCTTTTCTAGGGCCTTCCACAGTTTAAATAGATCTTCTCTTTGAACCTCTTGATTCTGAATCTGTGCAAGCCTTCTCTCTGATGTCACAATTGGTGACTTAACCACTCTCTGCTTTTGAACCCGAACCCCTATTTTAGATTTGTAATTGACTATTGGGATTCTCTGGTTGGGGGGGTTACTCTCCTTCCACCCATATCCCGCGGGCTCCACAGAGAGATTCTCTGTATCCTGATAGATCAGACTGAGTTCAGTCCTCCTGGGGCCCTGCTTTCCCCACACACGAATCTCGTCCAGTCCGCAGGTGGTATCAATCACTGTTTCTTCCTCAAAATGCAGGTTCTTCGAATTGACTCCCCCGTTCTGTCTCCATCTCGAAACCTTAGTTCCTGCTGGCATCTCAGGGCCTTCCACTTTCAAGTACCGGTCTAGTATCAAGGGGTCCTTCAGCCACGAGCCTGGGTTGAACTCCTTGTTTTTCTTTATCGCAGAAATCCAGTGCCATGGGACCGAGTCCTTCGGTATCTGATAATTTTGTACCACTCTATGAACTCTCGGGAGTTTTGCTCGAATACCTGTCACCGGCTTCCAATTGTCTGCCTGTACGTCCCAGACGTCCTTCAGTTGTATGATGCCGTGTTCTGTCCATGTTCTCCCAAAAGACCCTGAGGAACCGTCTGATGATAACTCGGACCCTTGATATTTGATTAACTCATTCTCCCATAATATCTGATTTAGGATTTCCCCTTTGGATCCGGGTTCACCTTTTTTCCTTGTTTTGTGAGTTTCATGGCCGCAACTTTTCTTGTTCCTTTTTTTTTTTTTTTTTTTTT